TTACTTCTATCTGAGTAAACAAATCTCAGGGTGGAGAGATAATTAATACAGATATCAGCAGTAATCCTGCAGGTTTCTTTAGGAAAGGTCTTTCACAGAATTCAAAAACTATATGGAAATAACATATTCTAAAATAGAATAGGTTTCAGAGCGAAGCTTGATTTGTTGAACTGTATTTATGTACATACTTTTAAAGTCTTTCTGAATATTTGAACATGAGGAAAGATCCTAAATATAAGTTTAAAATATTCTATTCGTAGTTACACAGTTAGAATAACAACCTTACTTAAAAGCATTTTCATGGTAACTACATTTTGTATTTAAGTATTAATTTAATTTAATGCTTAAATCCTTAAAGGAAACAATGTGGAATTTAATATATAAATGCTCTGAATATATGGACCTGAGAGTTTTAGGCTTTCTAAACTTTCTAAATTCCATTTTAATGCAATTGAGAAATTTCAGCACTTAGAGATATCCAAAATAACTCCCAATCCTAAAGATCTTGGTGTTAATTTGAAATTCAAAGGCTTTGCCATTTGTTCAGGGTGGATTTTATTTTTTGTCACCAAAACCAAGAAGAAAGGTAATTAATTCAGCTCACTAATCAATTTCAAAGATCTGCTAATGTTAAAATTGGGCCCAATTTGTTTCCAAGTGAACTTACAAATGTGTTCCTTTATGAATTCCTCTTGTCAAAAGAAGCGGCATTAGTGGTAATGGGAAAAGAAATTGACATTTAAATAATCCTAATCACTTTCTTTGAGAGCTCTGTGGTTAACATCTAGGGAAGTGCACAGGAAGTGGATAAACTGCTGTGGAGATAACAGTCAGAATGAAACACTGGAAATATTCAAATCTTCTATCAAAAAAGAGCACTGAGAGTCACATGGTAATGCCTGGCTATTTATAATGTAAATGATTAAAATCCAACTGAACTGAGGCTCTTGCATAACAGTGAATAGCAGTTACTGTATAATAATGTGCAGTACACTATACAGATGAATTGCTTAACAGCTGATAATATTCAAACACTTTAAGAAGGGAATTTGACTATGTGAAATATAACGCCCTTCTGTTGTCCCCAGGGGTTGTTTGAAAGTCATGCATAGATAAAAAGTGCACTGACATCACAACACTTATATTTAATATATGTTTAAATCTTTTATGCATTCATTGTACATACATACTGTATGTTAAACAAATTAAAATTAACATACTGTACATGGGATGAAATGAGGGGTAATGCACATAAGTGTTGCAAATGATACTTTTAACCACCATCTTCTGGGATTTGTTTTTCACTGAAGACAGCCTCAAAGTGCAAGGCTGTGAAAATCTGACAGTCAATCAGTTTACTGAAATAGAACCAGGATTTTTTTTTCCTGTCTGCGTTGTCATGCAGTATAAGACATATTAAAACTGCTTCAGAAATCTGAAGTGCAAAAAAACAGATTCTGCCTCTGGCAATTTGAAAAGATCACTGGAATCCTTTTTTTCTCCAACTGCAAAAGAAAAGAATTCTTGCAATATGGTGTTAATTATTTTTCTAAAATTTGTGTTGTGAGTTTTAATGAAATCCAAAATATTGTCTGGTTTTCTTGGGGAGGTAAGAAGAGACCTCTTTGCAAAACAGCCCTCTGCTGTTGAATATCATTCCTAAATTACTAACTTCTATACGAGTACAGCAGCCTGCCGGAGATGCTAAATCAAGAATTCAGTCTATCTACAGCCCCATCCGACTTATCAATAGAGTCACTTTGAGATGATGCTGAATTGTGACATGAAATGTTTCCATTATAAACATTTGGCCAAATATTCTTTATTAAAAATTGAATGCTGACTGCACATATTATATAATAAGGGTTTGAAAGTTTGACACCTTAGAGTCCTTTCGATAATTAAGGCTCTTCTTCCAAATTCTCTGCTTCCTTTAAAGTCGGAGCTGCAGTGCTGCCACATTCACATTGTATGTGCATATCTTTGGAGTGGCACTTCACTTGCAAACTTTGAAGTGCGAGACCAAGTAATAAATTCTATTGCCTGCTGTCATCAGCTGCGGTGACCACTTCCCTTGCCTCCGAGGAAGTCTGATGCCATAATAAGATTCATTACACCACTACATGCCTCAAACTGTCAAACTCCTCTGTGCCATCAGTAGGAAAGGACTAAAGGCACTTTCTTATATAGCACAAGGTCCCCATCCAACCCGATGTCAACAGCAGGGGGACTGACATTCGAGTGACAAAGAAATCTAATCAGTACAGCTACCAGCACAGCAGAAAGTGTCAACTACACTAAAGAGAATTTCAGCGACCAAAAGGTAAAACGTGATTTCTTGGCTAAGACTACATAAAGAACAAAAACACCATCCTGTAAAATAGCAATGAGCTTTAATTGGGTAGAATCTGTTAAAAATGAATGAAGATTAGCACATTAAAAGCTTTCACTTGCTTTCTCATTTTTGCCGGCATGCCAGAGCCACAGCCATCATGCCCCATAACTCTCTGCAGTAATCCCGCACTTTTTGCCTTTTCCTCTGAAGCTTTGAGTTCGACCTTCAGTTTTATTAAGATGTGTTGGACTGTAAAGACAGTTCTCTAGATATTGGGATTTTCATGCTCATGTTTCAGGCATGCTTCAGTGTTTGAAGTTCTCTACAACCATGCTAGTTTTATAGAGATGTTGTTCTTCGACAAAGTTCCTAGATTAAAAGAACTGGATGCATCTTTAAAACCAAAGCTGAGGTACCTGGTCCCAGTATCGTTGAAGGGTTCATAATGTGACCAAGTTAAACCCATAAAGAGTAACTGAAGCATCAGTTCAGAAAATAGGAATATAAAAAAGGTTACAGACTAGAGACGATTTATTCTAGCTTGCTCATTTAGCTACAAATAGTTTAATTACGTGATCTTGGAATCCCCTTCATAAAGGTTTCCTGTTTGATGACTCAGTACTAACAATTCTTTGTGTAAAGATGTTTGTTTTCTGTCCAGATAGACTCTTAATTTTCACTAGCATATTCAGATGCTTGTTTTGCTCATGACTTTCAAGAAATTCCCTTATTAACTTGGTCAATGCCTATCAGGATGTTGAAAACCTACAAATCACATGGCATTAATCCTGACTAAAAATAGACAGAACATCTATACAGAATGAAGTCTGCCCAAGTGTGATTTTCCCTTAGACCAACAATTAGTCTGGGTGGTCTCCCTTGCACTGCCTCTTAAAATAATTGTTTCAAAAATGTACACATAATTGACACTTATTATCACACATTTAATTAAACCAATGTTAAGCCTATTTAACCTCAGCACAGAAAAATCTTATTTACTCAACTCCAGCATATATCTCTCTCCAAAATACAATTTAATTCCAAAGTAAAAATAAGTATTTATGCAAATAATTTTTAAATGAGTTAAATCCCCCATATAATAAAATTGCTTGTCACTTCTATAGAAACTTCACTGGGATTTTGATGCTCTTCTGTTTCGGAATACAGCATTCTTTCATTCTACATAAGAGGTTTGTCATTTTATTCAGGATTGCCTTGTTTTGTTATAGAAGAAATCTTAAATATTTCTTTAATTATTTGAAGAAAAGCTCAAAATTAATTCTCATAAAAATAATTAAAAACCACAAGTCAAATACAGATAGCTACTGTACTGTACATGCAGTCCAACATGAGCTCTTTCAAGTACTGGTTCCCAATCAAAGCTGTTGATAAGGCCATGCAGAAATAAAGAAAACATACTGTCAACACAAAGAGCTTAGGTTAATAGCTATTAACTTATTTATTACTGATGATTATTTACCCTTTATTTATCAATCATTTAATAGCAACTTAAATAAAAAAATTAGACATTGCTATTTTGCTTCTCAAAGTTTATTTTACTCCTATATCTAGGTCTAAAAAATATTTCCATATCAATAATTATACCATGAATATGGTTTAGTGGATTAATATGTTTTTCCTGTGCTCTGCAATGCACACTGATAGATGTTCCTCTACCAAAGTTACATTTTGGAGTTCATTCCAACTTTCCAACTATTAAATGTGATCAGGAGGTATTGTGAGAACATATTTAACAGATTTAGGCCAACTTGCCCACTGATTTTTACCTGAAGTGTTTTTTTAGAGTATTTTAGTGGGGATAACTGACGGCTGGGCCCTAAGCTATCCACTGGGAGCCTTGATATGTTTGTCTTTGCCTCAGGTTATGAAGCTCCAGTTTCTGCATCACACCTGTCCACTTTGACTCGTGATTACTTTCTCAGCCAAGGGAACTCATCTCCAATCTGCTGAGCTTTCAGAAAGAAACTGAAGAAGCTTTTTTTATTACTATATTATTACCACTCACTAGTACTGTTTAGTTTTAGTTTTGGGGTACACAAGGAATGGTATAAAATAATGAAAAAGAGACTTCCCCTAGCTCTCAGGTAAGATGCTGGAACAGCTAAGATGCTCTCTCCCTCACCACCAATTGTTCCGTTTCTTTCCTATGGGGACTTCCCAGTAGTGCTGCTTCATCTTTCTGTTTCACAGCTTTGTTCATTTTAGTGTGAGAACATTCAGGACCTCTCTCAAAGCTGTGGGATTTCTCCATTTTACATAAACTGGAGAGCAAATTTAGCATACTTGGGTCTTATACCGTAGCCGTAAACATTTACCATAAATTCCCTGCACAATCATCTTTGTACTTGGACTCTACCACATTTTCAACGCAGATGCCACACCATCTTATATTATCCAGTTATGTTCTCCAGGTAAATATAATACGCTTTAGAGCCCATTTTTTTCTGTTAAGAGAATCTAATTTGTTAGACAAACCTGATTTGGTTATTATAAAAAGCTAATATCAAGACTCACTACTCCATATCATGCTCGTATCAGTGATGGTGAATACGTACTCTGTTCTGTGCGTCTCCAGCCACTTGCCAAAAGGTATAGCTTCCTGAAAGGCGAGGGGGATTTCTTTAATCACTTTTCATTTTCTTACCCATTACAATGACTTTGAAGGATAGGCAAAGGTCTCCTGTGATCACAGACCTTTCTTCTCTTTCAGGCAGCTCAATCCACAGTGCAGAAAACCTGTAGTGACAGATATCAACATTTGGCAGTGAGATGCAGCTAAAGTGTGAAAAATGGGACATGGGCCAATTTGTACATGTACCGTACTGTTGATGGATAGGAGGTATTTGTTATTATTTTGCAGAAATTAACAAACTGAATACAAGAACAAGTCAAAATACATTTCATTTTCATTGCTAATGAAAGCTGATTCAAGACTTGTTCACATGACTGAGCACAACTTATACATCCATTTATTAACTACATATCAAATTCAGTGTCATGGGGGAGCCACAGCCTATCCCAGCAAGCAATCTAAGTGGGATACCTGCTCAGCCCTTTTTAAAACTCCCACATGGTGAAACAGACAGATTTAACCAGCAAGACCCCTTGCCACAATACCATGGAAGCAAAAGCTAATATGGGACGGACCCAGGAGTGATTTGACTCCCAAAAACCTAGTACCATTCTTGTCAATTATGAACTGTACGTACGTATGACTAAACCACCTGAGAGTAAGTCTAGGGGTTGGCACAAACAATATAGGAAAATATATATAGCGTCCATTAACTGACAAAGAAAAAGTGAAAAGTAAAAAAATCAAAACAGACAAAACATTTAACAAAATAACAAACTGAACTCTCACTCAGGAATTTTCCTATTAACTGTTTTTTTTTAAAAAGGTGTACAATTAGAAAAGCTGTGTAACAATGCACAGACAGTTACCATGTAAATCAAAACAAAACTTACCTGACATACTGTAACGATCAGGTAAAATATCCTAAGCTCCATCACTGACAGCTCCTGATGGATAGGTAAGACTCCATTTAAACCAGAGGTGAGTCAGGGCCTGTAACCCAACACAAAATGGTGGAACAAACACACAAGGATTCACAAGAAGTAAGTCAACATATAAAGCAAATTAGAAATACTTCTTTGCCATACCATAATATTTATGCAAGATATATAAACAAAGAATATTATTTCCCAAAATAACAAAGATAACTAGCGAGTAAACAATAAGAGAGACCTCAACAGAGGTCATGCAATGAGGGCGAATAACAACTATTTGTCACAGTAGGCAATCCAATTTTACACTTGCATCTCAAGAGTATAACATATCCATTCTCATTGAAATTTTGGAGAAAAGTTGCAGGCTGTACAAAACAGAATAAATCCCTTCCTATGGAACATCATGGAAATGAAGGGACAGATCATTCTGCCATGTTGTTCATTTCTCAAAAGAGGCTATTCCTCAATTAAATGAGTCTTTAAAGAGAGCACTGACAGTCATCTACAAGGCCAACTTTTCTGCATATAAATAATCATTCTCAATTTACACTAAGAAAGTGCAAGAGTATATGCAGAATATCAACAAAAGATAATGAAATCTGATCTCCCTGCATCACAAACTGCTGAGCAAAAGGTATAAATGACAGCATGGTTTCTGATCTTTGCTCAACTGTTTTGTTTGACAATCTTTAACTTATGAAGGAAAACATCTAATTACACGGTGCCATTTAAATTAAGCCATTAGACAGACAAATTAAAACTCAGGATTATCTCAGAATTGTGACTAGTTTATTAGTCTAAGTGAAGCAAAAATTAAACTTATTAGCAACTGTTTTATGGAGTTGCGATGGGTCATGAAATTCAGTAATTTCTACAAAAATTCTGAACAGATTTATATTTACTGTAAGTATATATTGGGACCATTTTTCAATTGCATTTCTCACTGTTACATCATTGTTTTTTGTTGATTGCCTGTGCTTTATTAGCTTTTTTTTTTCAAATGTCTGCGGTTTGATGGGGAAAATGAAGAGTTCGTAATCTAAGGGATTTATTTTGTTCAGCAAGTTATCTTGACATACTGTATTGTTCCCCTTGTAAAATAAAAAGATTTAAACCAATTACCACCCTCGTGAAACTGACAGTGAAAAACGTTCCGTTATCCTGAGAGAGTGATAACCCCATATTCCCTTGAACTGTGAATTTTTGGGAACTCAAACATTTATGGGAACTTGCATGACTGACTTTTCTCCTGTGCCAGTCTAGTTAATCTAAAAAATGTCTACACTGCATCTGCTTGGTAAGTAATCAGTAATGACTGCCTCCTCACCAAAAACTTTGTGTCTAAGACCAAATGAGCTTAAAGCTTTAGATTGTTCTCAACAGAAAAATAAATGTGATTTCTCAGACAGAGCCATCCATCGAAGCAGGGCAAGTTACAAGAGAAACCAAAGAGACTCTTGGGATTCCTTACCAATGTAACACCCTGCAAAGAAAGAGGCTAAAGGGGGTATTCCACACATCCAATTATGCTGCTTTTCACTTTATTTGAGGTGCGTTTAACCCAAGATTTACGTGATATCTCTAGTAACACAATGCAACATAAGACACTCTTAACAGGAACTCTATGGCCCTTGGCTATGCTATAGATTCTGTCATTTATCTATTTTGACTGCTCAGACAGAGATTTGACCCTGTAGAGCAGGACACATACAAATATATAGTTTAATAACTGCTTTATTATCATATTATTACTATGCCATTGCAGTAATGTTGATGATGATAATCATTTATTGTTATATGCTGTACTGTACAGTATATCACCATTCATAAAACGCCAAAATGATTGTAAGATTTGCAAAAACAGCATAAACGATTAAGCATAATTCAGATTTTAAAACATCTGACTGAAAATTCATTGAGAGAAGGTAGTGTTATATAAATATGTTTTCAGGACTGATTTAAATATTCCAATTGAAGGTGAATCTTTGATTAAAGGGGGTGAGGAAGTCTACAGTCTGGTGCCATTGTGACAAAACGCAAAACATCCTCTGCCTCTTTTTTAGGATTCGCCACTGCACTACAAAGCAGACCAACATCAGAAGATTGTAATCTACATCCTGTCTGATAGAGAGAGCATTTCAATTAAATCTGGTGCCAGATCATTCAGTGTTTTAAACACATGTACTTGAATTTTCAAGTAACAGCAACAGCCTTTCCAGCAATGCCAATAGATTAGTTCATTAGTTCAGATGAATTCTGTATAGGCTCCAAGCATGATAAAGCATTACTTGTAAGAACAAAAAATAGAACAATTTTTATTTAGTAGTCTTATCTAGATGTACTATTTTCTCAACATTAAAAAGTAAAGGAACAATCCTGCTTTAGTAATATTATTCAGAGGTACACTTTAGTAATGTGTTTAAGGTGTAATTATTTGATTATAGAGTCTGTAAGCATAACTTATCTCTTCTACTATATAGAAGGTTTGTGAATTTTAGGATTTACATGGTGGGATAGGTTTGGCATAACCCAATCCTGGCTATAGGACAAGGTGACTCAAACCTCATTCCAAGAGGAGTGAACCAAGGACTAGCTGGAAGGTGAAAATGGGGTAGAGGGGGGTTCTTGAGACGAATGCATAGGGATTAGCTCATTTCTGTAATGATTAGGATTAGGAATATCCTTGTGAGATTGCTTTGTCATTGTTTTCCCTCCCGAACGTCAGTTAATAACTTCAGTTATTTATAAACTGTAAGACATCCAATTTCTTACAACTGCAAAACACTTAAGAAAATCTTTAAAACAGAATTAGAATTGTAGTTACTTGGGCTAATAAAAATATCTGTATCATCTGCAGAGCAGTGCAAGACCAAGTTTTATTTACCAGTAATCTACCCAAATGGAAAGAGAACTTTACTTTACTACACATAAGGAAAATCACTTTGGGCCTAATATGCAGCCTGGTGGAACACCAGAGATAATATTAGCCAGTCCAGAAGTTGAATTTCCCAGGGCAAGAAACTAGTCTTTTTAAATTTAAAATTAGACCAGTTCAGAAAAGTCCCTGATCAGCTAATACATTATTTAAGACAATTAATTAAACTGTCATGACCCACGGTATCAAAAGTAGGGTTTAAGTTTAAAAGGACTAAAAAACGACATAATTTTAATCCTCACTCATGTAGAGCAGTTTCCACTGTGATTAACTCAGTGCTATAATTGGAGAGAACACCTGACTGAAAATTTTCTGTGATAGTATCGCTATCAGGGGAATTGTTGTTGGGTTTTTTTCTTTTAAAATTCTTCATTTTGTTTTTTTTAAACTAAAAATGGAAGATTTGGAATAAGCCTGAAGTTACATAAACCCAAAGTACAGATGCAGCCATTCAAAATGTATGGTAAAAGTCTGTACCGTGCAAAATTACCTGCAGAATAGCATGGAATATATAATCGAATAAATTCGATTTCCTGAGCTGGAGTTTTATAAGGGCAGCTGTAAAAGCAGATGGAAACCTCCCTGTTGACAGCAAACTAATAACTATAGCAAGAACATCATTGCACAGACTGCTGAACATGTCCTTCAAGAATCTACTTGGTATTGGATCCAAAGGACAAGTAGCATATTTCAGATACATTACTGTTGTATTTGAGTCTTGCACAAGAATCAGAGGGGTACTCCAGGTAATGGCACATCAATAAAAGTCTTTATTTTGGTTTGAAAATGGTTAAGAAAATTAATCATCTGATCTGTCAGTTGTTCTGAAAAGACTATTGTTGTATTTTTCTCAATAAAACTTTAAAAGTAAACACATCTTTCTAACCTTAAAGCTTCTTGGTACTTCAGTAAAACCAGCTTCAAAACAGTGTATTTATAGTTTTTTTTTTAGCCTGCTGGTATCTCATCGTAGTCGGCTAGATTGCAGACTTTGACACAGTCCATTTGCAACTCTTAACAGATCATAGGTGGAGTCTACCTATGCAAGGTTTGGTATATTTATGATGGACAGGTGCCAAAGCTATAAATATGTGCAAACCAAATCCAAAATAGTGGCCATGTCACACAACAGTGCTTTGAAAGCACTGAAAAGCTTTGAAAAGCAGACTTGCAGAGAACTTACCCTTCATTTAGAACTGTCTACTTGGTATATCCTGTTATATACTGTATACCGTATATATGTACATACACATTTTTCTATGTATAGATGTAGCAGAGGTAGATAACCTTTAAAGAAGTATTGCTGTATCTCCCTGAAGTCTCCCAGAAATTTCTGGTAAATGTTCCAGAAATCAATCTCAGAACGTTGAACTTTGTATCTTTACTCAATACCTTGGAACATAATCCTCAATGGGTTTTTTTCTACTAAATGCTTAAGATGTAAGCTTTCCTTTCTATAAAATATTCCACTTTTAGAAACTATCCCAGTTGTCAACAAAACCTGGTGTGGCTCAGCAGGTCTTTAATTATCTAAAGAGTGCCTCCTAAACCCTACCCATAACAACTTGAGTCAGAAATGATTACCTTTCTGTTCCATTCTTTTAACTGTTTAAAAACCTCCTTAAGAACTTCAGATTCTCTCTGCCTTGCGTCCTTAATTCCTGCTTGTACAATGAGCATGGAAACCTGACTGTGCTGTGCCACTAAGTAGTCTACTTGAAATGCAATATTCTTGAGTCCAGCCCCTGGAAATGTATTTTCTTAGTGTTTGCATGGGGCTCTGTTGACACATTTAACAGTGGAATTGCCTACTAATAGATTTCTTTCTAAAGTGAATTGCTGATTTAGGTTCATCATATTGAGTGAGCACCTCAAATGTAACATCACTTTGGGAACAGAAGGAGAAGCCTTGGTTTTAGTTTTTATTAGCTGCTGTATCAGTAAATGCTGTGTTCCACTTCCTCCGTAAACAGAGCTGTGGTTTGTAAGAGAACTGATGGCTCCTATATCTCATAGGGGGGGAAACTGAAACCAGGCAACTCACTGTGTAATTTAAGAACAAAAAACACATTTTTCTAGAGCTATTTAAACTGTCTCCAATTAAAACATGTTTTTATGGAACA